CTTATCCGACCACAAATCCCTTGTGGTTTTGCTCGTTTGAATCCCTCAAACTAAAACAGAATGAACCTCCGTTCACGCTATATTTTCTTCCCACAATAAACTACTCACTCTCGATCTCTTCACTCTACAATAAATGAAAATTGAGGATTTCTCAAAAAACAAACATCCAAAAGTAACTCTCACTAAACGTCTCGTCCTCCTTTTATCTTTGGTCTCCTATGGTAAGTCTTGCACAAGGCTTTGCCTCCAAGTCACGTTCACTTATGGTAAGTCTTCATTTGTAAAGTCCAAGTCCGTGATTAACATCTCTCTCATATGGAAGGTGAATCCCGATTGACCTCCATCAGTCCTGCAATTAAAACATGTATTATAATTAATCAATTAACTGTAATAATCGAAAAATAAATCCAAGTAATAAAGTCAACTTCCCTTAAATATTCGTGAGTTGTCGGAACCACGAAAATGATGAAGGTTCGTCGATTTACTGCCAATCATCAGAACTTACAAAGTAGACTTAAAAAAATATTATGTGGCCATTGCCCACTTATATATAATTATTATATAAAAGTGTTATAATTATTATTATTATTATTATTATTATTATTATTATTATTATTATTATTATTATTAAGCAGGTAAAATGAATTGTGCATATGAGTCCGGAAATTGGATATTTAACCTTAAAATGATTTTAAGTCTATGAATGTATTTTTTATTAATGCGGAACAAATAATAGACCGAGTTACTCGATCGAACTACGCCTGAGTTGATGACAAAAATATAACCAGGTGGAAAAAATATTGTTGAGAAATATACTTTATGTCTTGATAATAAAATTTAACAGTATAACAATAGATCACATATAGTTGTTATTGAATGTTATGTTATTTTGGATGAAACAAATAAAATTATTAACATGAATAAGAGTCTATTCAATTGGGACATTGAATAATATTTTAAGATTTTTTGAATTCGAGATTTTTTATAAAACTTGATTTCATTCAAATACTTGGAAATCTTAGTTTTATGGGTAGGATTGGAGATATGATTGTTTCTCTCAGTTCAAATACTTCATTTCTGAGCTTTAAGATTTCTTTGTTTCTCTCAGAAAGCAGTTTTTGAGTTGAGAACAGTTCAGACCTCAGACATTCAATAGTCTGAGACTTCTCTAACCCATCTTGTTTAGAGAGTTTAACGCTCCTCTCAAGAATGAAGGTTCGAGCCTTTAATGTATCCAATTCATTCTCTTTTTGATAAGTAAGAGAGGAGGAGGCTTGTTCAATCAACAACCTATTTGGCCTTTGTCAGTTTCTGAACCTCACTTTGAAGTTTCTTCATAGCCTCAGATGCTTGTGCGCATTTCTCCATATTCAGCAAGTGAAATGGATCAATACATATGTTCCAATCTGCTTCATCCTCTGATATTTCAGCTTCTTCCATGCTCTCTTCAAACTTTTTCGTGGCATGAGAAGTGGTGAACCACATGAACTTCCTCACTGAGGAACAAATTTCCATATTACTCGTGTGTGATGAAGGTTCTTCCATTCCCTCGTCATCTGAATCTTCCCACGTTGCCTTCAGTGACTTGCTCTTCTTTTTAAGATTAGCACATTCATATTGAAAATGACCAAAACCTCGACATTCTCGGCTTTGGTCCTTCTCGATTCTTTGTAAGTCCAGTTTCGACAAAGGTGTATTCTTTTTGTCTTGAACCGTGTTTTTGCTAGAATTATTAAACTTCTTTCCAAAAACTTATTCTTGTATAGCCTCTGCCTCATCTTCCCGTAATTTCTTGCAATCAGTGCAAAAGGCTCTTTCAACTTGCTGTCATCCACCCTTAAACCTTCATCTTCATCACTGTATTCTTTCTCCTCGACTACAACAGCTTTGAGAGCAAGTCCCTTATTTTTTACTTTGTCAAATTGTTGTTGATTTCGATCATCCTCATATCACCAAGAAATTCATCAACGTCTAGAGGGGCAATTCTTTGGAAGCTCTCAAAAGCCATAATTTTCTCTCTGAATCTCGGCGCAACTGTCCGCATAATCTTTTGAACTTGACGCTTTTCATAGATTTCTTCACCTAGCATCCCACTTTGATTTACCAGATCGCAAAATCTGGCATAGTACATATCAACCGTTTCTTCATCCCTCATTCTGATTTCATCAAATTCGAGCGTTACACGTTGAAATCTGGATGCTTTGACTGCTGTTGAACCTACAAACTGACGCTGTAAGATCCGCCAAGCATCTTTCACTGTCTTGCATTGAACTATCATCTTGTGTCGAGTCTGATCAACTGCCATCATGATCGCATACAACGCTCGATAGTTGGCTTCTTCCTGAAGTTTTTCAGCGTCAGTCCAGATGTCTTTAGGTTTAGGCACAGTACCTGTTGAATGTCCTTTCCCTTGATATGGAGCTGCCCGCATGACTGGGTGTTCCCAGCCATTTTCAACAACTTCCCAAGCACATTTTCCCAGAGATCTCAGAAAGATCGTCATAGTAGATTTCCCGTAAGAGTAGTTTGATCCATCCAATTGCGGAGACCTAGACATCGATCCACTTTTCTAATTCATGATTGTCCAATTCACACGTCCTTAGATCTTTCGCAAAAAATATGAAAACCTACTCTAATACCAATTGTAGTTTGATGTTTGTATCCCAAGTACCCAGAGTTGCACACAATTTAATTAGACAGAAATGAAAGAAGATTTAAGCAATTGCGGAAGCAGTATAACTTAAAATGAACCTTCAGGAGAGCGTTTCACTCTCCCTTCGGATCTCTTTCATTAATGCAAACAACACATACATTCTTCAAGGGTTTACAGTATAGACTCCTTCTACACTCTACTTGTACAATGATTTACACTACTACTTATCCGACCACAAATCCCTTATGGTTTTTCACCTTTGAATCCCTCAAACTAAAATAGAATGAACCTTCGTTCACCCTATATTTTCTTCCCACAATAAACTACTCACTTTCGATCTCTTCACTCTAAACTAAATGAAAATTGAGAATTACTCAAAAAACAAAGATCCAAAAGTTACTCTCACTAACGTCTTGTCCTCCTTTTATCTATAGTCTCCTATGGTAAGTCTTGCACAAGGCTTTGCCTCCAAGTCACGTTCACTTATGGTAAGTCTTCATTTGTAAAGTCTAAGTCCGCGATTAGCATCTCTCTCATATGAAAGGTGAATCACGATTGACCTCCATCAGACCTGCCATATAAAACATGTATTATAATTAATCAATTAAACTGTAATAATCGAAAAATAAGTCCAAGTAATAAAGTCAACTTCCCTTAAATATTCGTGAGTTGTCTGCACCACAGAAATGATGAAGGTTCGTCGATTTACTGCCAATCTTCAGAACTTACAAAATAGACTTAACAAAATATTATGTGGCCATGGCCCACTTATATATATTTTTTATATAAAAGTATTATAATTATTATTATTATGATTATTATTATTATTATTATTAAGCAGGTAAAATTAATTGTACATATGAGTCCGGAATTTTCATCGGATATTTAACCTTAAATTGATTTTAAGTGTATAAATATATTTTTTTATTAATGTGGAACAAATAATAGACCGAGTTACTCGATCGAACTACGCCTGAGTTGATGACAAAAATATGACCAGGTGGAAAAAATATTGTTGAGAAATATACTTTATGTCTTGATAATAAAGTTTAAAAATATAACAATTGATCACATATAGTTGTTATTGAATGTTATGTTATTTTGGATGAAACATATAAAATTATTAACATGAATGAGAGTCTATTCGATTGGGACGTTGAATAATATTTTAAGATTTTTTTTAATTTGAGATTTTTAATATAATTTGATTTCATTCAAATACTTGGAAATCTTTGGTTTATGGGTAGGATTGAAGGTATGATTGTCATTTAATAAATGTCTCATGATTGTTTATTAAATTTTTTTTATAGTTTCAGAAGGTTTAAAAATCTTAAAAGAAATTCACATATTTTATTCAATTGGAAAATAAATATAAATTTCCACTAATTGATTTACGAACAATGTTATTTTTTCCTTGTGGGAGCTAGGGTTTCCTCTTTGGGACTTTGATTCCTAATCCCGCAGGTATTATCAGCACCATTTGGGGCTGGATTTCTCAGTTTATCAGGTTTATCAAGCTTTCACTTTCCTTGTTTCGGTCTCATATTTATCCCCTTTTCCTCTTTATATCTTTCTCTGTTGTCTGTGTTCTTTTTGTTGTGTCTGTAGGCTGTCTGTAGCGCCCCGTCTATTTATTAATTATTTAGAATTAGTCATTATTATTGATATTGTTATTAATTATTATTAATGTTATTATTATTAATATTATTATTATTTATTTTAATGTCTAATTGTCATTAAATGATTAAATACCTAACTGTCAATTTAAATGTCTAAAGGCTTATTAATATTAAATTATTAATGCGTGTAATATATATATATATATATATATATATAGAGAGAGAGTTAGGATCATATGAGAATGGTAGATAGTGAAAGAAATGAGAATAAACCTACACCATGAGATCAATCCTATCAATGGTTAGGATGAAGTCAAATTATGGTCAATCATTAATGGCAATTTGGTAATTACTTGATCTTAGTGTGGTCAAATATGTGCATTCGATCAGTAATTAAGGAGAGTTTAGACATTTAATTCAAATTCAACACCTTTGTGGGACCCACCACTCCCATCATTAATACCAATATAATTACACTGCACCCCACCTACCCCCTTCCCCACCCTAATTCTCTTCCACACGCACGCACACACACACACACACACACATAACACGACACACACCCACTGTTCTTGTGACGGACCACCGCCTCGCCGCCACACTCGCTGCCGCAACAGCAGCCGACTCGACCCTCGACATCACTGACCGCCACCGGGAACAACCACATCGTTCAACAGTCATCTTTCGCCTACCTTCGTCGACCACCAACTGCCCCGCCGACTCAACAGTACCGTCACCACAGTTCTCCGCCACCGCCATCCACCACATACTCGCTGGAGGTTCAACATAGATCTCGCCATTGCCGACCTCCACCGTCTCCCACCCTATCTCCGCTGCCGTCACTGTATGTCACAAGGTACGACTCCAGAATCGCATATGAAATCGGTAATCTATCGAGACTCCAGACGGGGCAACGGAGGAAACTGAATTCCAATGGAAAATTGGTCGGTACAGAGCCGGTGGGCGGCGGTTCAATATGTCGACGGGACAGGTGCGGTCGCAGCCAAATCTGGTGTCGGATTCTGGTTAGTCGAGGCGGCGGCGAGAACCTGCACGGTGTTCGGTGGCGGGGCTGACGGACGATTAGAAGAAGGTGTCGAGATTTATGTTCTGTGTAGCTGATTTGGGGCATTTGTAATTTAGATGAGATTTGGGCTTGCATAATTGAGAATTGGATAATTTCTAAGGGCTTATATGTAAATTAGTAGAAATTATTTATATGCCAATTAAATTTTGGTTGAATATATAATTTATTAAAAATTTAAAAGTACACAATATTAATAAGTAAAATGCATAATATTAATAGGTGATTGAACTTTTGTTCCAAATAGAAATAAATCGAACCGAAATATAAAAAATAAAACTAAAAATTATGTTTATTTTATATTTTTTATGGCTAAAAATAATTAACAATTTATATTATTTTTTTGGGATTTTCGATTTTTCGATTTCGGTCGCTAATGTGCAATCTGATAGTTGTTAATGTCCAAGTCGTATAACACTATTGTGCAAATCGTATAACATTATTGTGCACCCCCGATACATTAAA